ATCTTTATCCAGCTTAGTGACTAAAATCCAAGTGTATCAGTCAGACCCAATGGAGACAAGAGGTGAAAAGGACTTTTGCGGAGGGGATGTTTGGTAGCATCTGGGCTGAAGTTGGCTGTGGGACTCATCTGGTGGGGGCACTTAGTGGAGATAGCCCTGAACTTAAGTGAGTAGTCTTTGGCTGGGCCCGGACAAGGCTTGATCCTTACTCTGGGAGAAGGCCCAGGTGTCTCCAAATAGACCCACCTTCCTTACAAGTTAATTTCTGAAACAAACAAACAAAAATTGCAAAGGACAAGTTGTGTACTACTCCTCACCAGTTTTGCTCTTAGAGTAAGGTGACCAGATTTTAACATTGGTAAAGTGGGACACCATTGAGGGGGAGGCAGAGCCTGACAACAATGCAAACTTTGATAAGCAGTTCTTGATAATCAGTTCTCAACAATTACTTGTTATTATTAAAGTTTAACATTATAAAATTAACAAAAATAATATAAATGCATATCCTGGTGAAATAACCACATGGCAGCTGAAAACCGTATATTCTCTTCCTGTTTTCCCATGTTCCCTAGCTTGTTGTGCATTCTTTCCAAAAATTGGGGCTTTTTAAAAACGCCACAGGATGCAGGACAAATTGTTAAAAATCAGGACTGTCGCACCAAAAGCAGGATGTCTGGTCACCTTACTCTAGAGAGAGGGGGGCTACCTGTTTGTTTCAGTTTGGCTCCTTCTGAGCTAATTGTCCTTGCCTAGAAGCAAGGGAGGGAGCCAGTCTCCTTCTGATACCTTGCCCAGGAGGGGAATAGGGAGTTTACATTAGCCTTTTCATTTCCAAATGAAGTTACATTAACCTCTTCATTCCCAAATAGAGTTACATTAACCTTTTCAGCAGCCGAAAACCGTATATTCCCTTCCCATTCTCCCACTGTTCCCTAGCTTGTCATGCATTCTTCCCCAAAATCGGGACTTTTAAAAAATGCTGCGGGACGCGGGACAAATTGTTAAAAAGCGGGATGTCTGGTCACCTTAACATATACAATTTATTAATCCATTCATGGGTTGATGGGCACTCACACTGTTTCTATGTTTTGGCAGTTATGAATTGGGCTGCAATAAACATTCTGGTGCAAATGTCTTTGTGGTAAAATGATGTTTGATCATCTAGGTATATACCTAGTAGAGGAATTGCAAGACTGAACAGTAGGACTACTTTTAGTTCCTTGAGTATTCTCCAAACTTCTTTCCAAAAAGGCTGTATTAGCTTGAATTCCCACCAGAAGTGTGGAAGTGTTCCCTTCTCTCTGCATCCACGCCAACATCTGTAGTTTTGGGATTTTGTTATGTGGGCTAATCTTACTAGAGTTAGATGATATCTCAAAGTGGTTTTGATTTGCATTTCTCTGATGATTAAAGATGATGAGAATTTTTTCATGTGTTTGTAGGCCATGTGGCTGTCTTCTTCAGAGAAGTTTCTGTTCGTCTCTTGCCCACACAAAAACGGGGTTATTTGTTCTTTTCTTATTGATGAGTTTGAGTCCTCTGTGGATTCTAGTTATCAACCTTTGTCGGAAGCATAATCTGCAAAAATCTTCTCCCATTCTGAAGGTTGTCTGTTTGCTTTACTAACTATACTCTTGGCCGTGTAGAAGCTTTTATTTTTTTAGACAGAGCCTCAAGCTGTCACCCTGGGTAGAGTGCTATGACATCACAGCTCACAGTAACCTCCAACTCCTGGGCTCAAGCGATTCTCCTGCCTCTGCCTCCCAAGTAGCTGGGACTACAGGTGCCCACCACAATGCCAGGCTATTTTTTGGTTGCAGTCGTCATTGTTGTTTGGTGGGCCTGGGCTGAATTCAACCCCGCCAGCTCAGGTGTATGTGGCTGGCACCTTAGCTGCCTGAGCCAAGGTGCCAAGCCCAGTCAGAAGCTTTTTAGTTAGAGATCCCAGTAATATATTTTTGGTGTCGCTTCAACTGCCCAGAGGGTCCCCCTCATAAAATATTCTCCCAGGATGATTTCTTCAAGTGTTTTCCCTGTACTCTCTTCTAGTATATGTAATAGTTTCATGTCTTAAGTTTAAAACTTTTATCCAGTGAGAATCAATTTTTGCTAATGGTGAAAAGTGGGGATCCAGTTTCAGTCTTCTACAGGTCGCCAGCCAGTTCGCCTAGCACCATTTATAGGGAGTCTTTTCCCCACTGAATGTTTTTAATAGGCTTATCAAAGATCAAATGACGATAAGTAGCTGGGTTCATCTCTTGGTTCTCTATTCTCTTCCATAAATCTACCTCCCTGTTTTTGTGCCAATACCATGCTATTTTGATCACTATAGATTCACAGTATAGCCTTAAGTCTGGTACTGTGATTATCTCCTGATTAGTTTTTTCTGAGTAATGTATTGGCTATTTGAGGTTTTTTTCTGATTCCATATAAAATGAAGCACTATTTTTTCAAGCTCTTTAAAGTATGACAATGGTGCTTTAATAGGGATTACATTAAATCTGTAGATTGCTTGGGTAGTATGGACATTTTAACAACGTTGATTCTTCCCAGCCATGAGCATGGTTTTTCCATTTGTTAACATCTTCAGCTATTTCTTTTCTTAGAGTTTCATAATTCTCTTTATAGAGATCTTTCACGTCCTTTGTTAGGCAAATTTCATCTTCTTTGGCACTACTGTAAAAGGAATAGAGTTCTTTTTTTTTTTTTTTTTGAGACAGAGCCTCAAGCTGTCCCCCTGGGTAGAGTGTTATGGCTTCACTGCTCACAGCAACCTCCAGCTCCTGGGCTCAAGCGAGTCTCCTGCCTCCACCTCCCAAGTAGCTGGGACCACAGGTGCCTGCCACAACGCCCGGCTATTTTTTGGTTGCAGCCATCATTGTTGTTTGGCGGGTCTGGGCTGGATTCGAACCTGCCACCTTAGGTGTATGTGTCTGGCGCCTTAGCCGCTTGAGCCACAGGCGCTGAGCCGGAATAGAGTTCTTGACTATATTTTCAGCTTGACTACTGTTAGCATATACAAAAGCTACTGATTTGTAAGTATTGATTTTGTATCCTGAGATGCTGCTGTATTCCCTGATCACTTCTCGGATCACTTCTCTTATAGTTGAGTCCCTGGGATTGTCCAGGTATAGGATCATATCATCTGTGAAAAGTGAGAGTTTGATCTCAGACCCCATTTAGATAACCTTGATCACCTTCTCTTGTCTGATTGTGATGGCTAAGACTTCCATTACTATGTTGTGTAGTAGTGGAGACAGTGGGAATTCAAGAAGAAACTAAACAAAGAAATATTAGACTTAAACTTGACCCTAGAACAAATGTACTTAACAGACCTCCTCAGAACATTTCATCCTAATAAAACTGAATATACATTCTTCTCATCAGCCCATGGATCATCCTCCAAAATTGATCATATCTTAGGACACAAGTTTAACCTCAGAAAATTTAAAAGGATAGAAATTATTTCTTCTATCTTCTTGGATTACCAAAGAATAAAAGTTGAACTCAACAGCAACAGGAATCTTCATACTCAAACAAGTCATGGAAACTAAATGATGAAAACAAAAGAATCATTCAGAAGATCAATGAAACAAAAAGTTGATTTTTTGAGAATAAAATCGATAAACTTTGGCTAACCTAACCAGAAACAGAAAAGTAAAATCTCTAATATCATCAATCAGAAAGGATAAAGGAGAAATAACAGACACCTCAGAAATTCAAATAATTCTCAATGATTTCCACAAAAACCTCTATTCTCAGAAATACGAAAATCTGAAGAAAATGGACCAATACCTGGAAGCATGCCACTTTCCTAGACTCAACCAGAAAGAATTAGAAATTTTGAATAAACCTACATCAATCACTGAAATAGCATCAACTATATGGAACCTCCCAAAAAAGAAAAGTCAGGGACCAGATGGCTTCACATCTGAATTCTACCAAACCTTTAAAGAGGAACTAGTACCTACAGTATACAACATTTTCCAAAGCATAGAAAAAGAAGGAATACTTCCCAACACATTTTATGAAGCAAATATCACCCTGATCCCCAAACCAGCAAAGGATCCAACAAAGAGAATTATAGATCGATATCATTAATACCAGTGCAAAAATATTCAATAAGATCTTAGCAAACAGAATTCAACAACACATCAAAAAAAATTATATACCATGATCAAATTGGTTTTATTCCAGGATTACAAGGTTGGTTCAACATATGTAAATCTATAAATATATCACATAAATAAAAACAAAAAACAAAGACCATATGATTCTCTCAACTGATGCAGAAAAAGCTTTTTTTTTTGAGTCAGAGTCTCAAGCTGTCACCCTGGGTAGCGTGCCATGGCATCACAGCTCTCAGGAACCTCAAACTCCTGGGCTTAAGTGATTCTCCTGCCTCAGCCTCCCAAGTAGCTGGGACTACAGTTGCCCACCACAATGTCCAGCTACTTTTTTGTTGCAGTTTGGCTAGGGCTGAACCAGCCACCTTGGATATATGGGGCCGGCGCCCTACTCACTGAGCCACAGGTGCCGCCCATGACCTCATTTTTCTATGAGGTTGTCTAACATCCTGCCTCAAGACACACTTAGAGTCATGAGTAATGACAAGGATCTCTTAAGTGGTACAGCATCCTTATGCTTTCCTTTGTGGAATTTTATAGATAGACAACACTGCTAAATTGTTATACCATAAAACTTTGTTTACTTTTTCAGCCTTTGAAGTTTTATTTGCATTTCTATAGTACAGACACTTGCTACTTTTTAATATAAAAATTATACAGTAGTTCTCCTTATCCACGGGGATACATCCTATGACTTCCAGTGGATGCTAGAAACCACCACATAGTACCAAATCCTGTATATATGTTTTTCCCTGTGTATATGTAACTATGATAAAAGTTTAATTTATAAATTGGGTAAGTTAAGAGATCAACAATAACTAAAAATAGAACAATTATAAAAATATACTATAAAAAAGTTGTATGAATGTGGTCTCTCTCTTAAAATACATTAGTAATAATTACCACAGTTGAGCACAGATAATTAAAACCATGGATACTAGGGATTACTGCATATGCTTGTTTTAAAAATCAAAATATAAAAATATAAACTAAAAAGAGTGATTTTAAGCTTTCTTTTTCAAGGGGAGGCACAAATGCCAACCTTATGAAAATGAAGAGTCAGGATTTATGACCTGAGTCCAGGGTCACAGGAGCTGGGTTCTTGGTAGGCTTTTGAAATTTGCTCTGAAGGAAAACTCTAGGCACACACAAGTCTTCTTTTTTATTCACTGTTTCTCGAAACACATACTTGTTTATCACTTCCGCATATCCTGTGTCTGTAAAAAGCTGAGCCAGGAATTCTGTAAGACAAACAGGTCAACAATGCTCAAAGTCTTAACCACATCACATTTGCACTGCAGCAGTAAGGAGGAAGGCTGGAGGGCTGAGACTGATTTTCTTTTTATAATGAAAATTTCAATGCTAAAGTTTTTTTTTCTTCTTTTCATTTTAATAGATTTAGGGGTACAAGTATATACAGCATATATATGTACATGTTGTGTAGTGATAAAGTTTTAGGCTTCACCTAAGAAGTGGACATTGTACCATAGGTAATTTTTCATCCCTTGCCCCTTCTAGCCTCCCCTCTTTTGAGTTTCCAATGTCCATCATGTTATTCCATGTATCCTTGGGTAGCCATAGTTTAGCTCCTATTATAAGTGAGAATATGTGGCATTTGTTTTTCTGTTCCTGAGTTACTTCTCTGAAGATAATGGCCTCCAGTTCCATTCAAGTTGTAGCAAAAGACATTATTTCTTTCTTTATCAATGCTAAAATTTAAAGAAGTTTTGGGTATTAATACACTCCTACTTCTCACCATATGCTCAGACACAAACCTTCAATTAAACATTTTAATCAAAAAGAAGTAAATGACACAATCTAGTGTGCCTACCCTGCCCTATCATGAATTCTTAAACAAAAAAGCCTGAGTAAGCTTGGCACATATAGCTCAACCACTAAGGTGCCAGGCACATATACCAGAGCTGGCAGGTTTGAATCTAGCCCTGGCCTGCCAAACAACAATGACAACTACAACCAAAGAATAGCCCGGTGTTGTGGTGGGCACCTGTAGTCTCAGCTACTTGGGAGGCTGAGGCAAGGGAATCACTTAAGCCCAAGAGTTGGAGGTTGCTGTGAGCCATGATGCCACAGCACTCTACCCAGGGTGACAACTTGAGGCTCTGCATCAAAAAAAAAAAACCTGAGGAAAAAGAAAGGTAATTCCAATTTCATACAAAATCTGAAGTGGGGCTTGGCGCCTATAGCTCAACCGGCTAAGGCGCCCGCCACGTACACCTAAGGTGG